GTGAAAAAAAAAACAATATTCGTATGTCGAAAAGTCAGTATCAATCTCTCCGGTTTCTCAATGACAATCTTAGTGACTCAGCTAGAGTTACACACACACACACAGGGCCTGCTCAGTATTGATATAATGCTAACTCAACCCTGTCGTATAGTATAACAGTATCACAAGATTTTCACAAGATATAATCAACACACAAAACACAATAGATAATCAGGTAAGAATATCCTACAGGTGACAGCGACCTTTTGTCAGTATCAATATATCTCCACACAATTTATCAAGTCACTGCTTTGTTAAAATTGAACAATCCTTGATAAAAAGCAGTGATGATTCAGAAACAGATCAATAAAACTTAGTCTTAAAGAAAAAGACTTCCCTCAATCGGAACGATCCGAAAGAACAAAGCCCAGGACACAGTCTTCTCAAGTGGGTGTGTATTTGCCTAATACGCCCACCGAGGTCTTCTTTCAGGTGCCCTGCGATTGCCCGAGCTGTCCTATCAAGTGGCTCAAGGCAACCTCTGATCGAAAACTTCTAAAGTCTATGAAAAAGCTCCCCCACACCCGGAACGCTCCAAGTGCACGAGAGCAGGGAACAACTTTTCTTCTCAAGTGAGTGTGTATTGGCCTAAAACACTCACCGAGGTCTACTTTTATTTGTTCCCGGATTGCCCGAGCTTTCCTATTAATTAGCTCAAGGCAACCACACAACCAAAATCACAATCAAAAAAAAATTTTTTGTTCGGGTACTTCTGATACACCCGATCTAGAATCCAAAGTTGATCACAAATTTCCGGGTCAAAGTGGGCTCTTATGATCCTAATAAGCGCCTAATATCCTAATATGATTTTGATTAAATGGATATTTTCCGTTTCCCAAATCGCCACGGATGATTTCCTCAAGTTTCTAACAAGGAAGGTTGTTTAGAAGGTTTAAGACACTCCGGAGGGTTATTTCGGAGGGTTGTTAAGACACTTAGCCTACTTCGGAGGGTACCTTAATCACCCAAGTCACTTCGGAGGGTCCCCCTAAATTTACTAAGGAGGGTCAATAAGATGCTTAATATGCTCCGGAGGGTTACTTCGGAGGGTACCTCCAAAATTTTCAAATTTCTGAGCCTCACTCAGAAGGGCCTTCAATTAACTTCAGGAAGCGTCAAAACAAGCTTAATTCTCTATGGGAGGGCTGTCTCAACTTCTTTGGATAACCTCGTGGAAATTTTCCACTAAGGAGGGTTGCTAAGGACCTTAGCTGACTCCAGAGGGTTACCTCGGAGGGTTCCCCAAAAATCAAGAAAAAAGGTTATGTTACCGCAATAAAGTCTCCAAAAGCGGTCTACCTGACTTAAAACTAGGTTGGCTGACACGGTCAACCTTCCCAGTTGGATAAAAAGGTGTTTTGATAAAATTTTCCGCCGCTCGGAGGGTTACCTGTAATTTGGACCCTCCGAACCAACAAATTCTAAAAATTTTTCTTTTCCGAGATTATCGACCCAAAAACGGTTGCGGTCCGGAAAAGTGGCCCAAAACGTCGACTTATGGGACCAAAATTATCCCAATCGGATGACTAGTCTTTGAGAAATTGCCAAAAACGTGTCTGTCCAAATGGCCTTTTTTCACCACCTATATAGGTTCTGAGAAACTTTTTCCGCAATTCCTATCGAAAGTGCCTAAAAATAATTTAAACGAGCGTAGTAGCCCTGTACGGCACTGGAATAGTGCAAAAAACTGGATCAAAATTGGTTTGGAGACAAAAATTTGGCCAATAACTATCAAATTTGGACCCTCCGGTTCCTTCCTTTTCCAATCCTTAAGTCGTTAGCTCTATCCAAGGAGCCAATCGGAGGGTTACTCAAGAATTTCTCTAGTAACCGAGCACGTTATGCTAGCACGCTCCTAATACAAAAAACTTTATTGCTCTAACTCTAAAAACTCAAAAACTCGATCCCCAAAACAGATTGACAAAATTCAGAAAATTATCGAAATTTTGACCGAAAAATTTTGGTTTTTTCCAATTTTTGCTGAGTCTTTTCTCACGCGGCGGTTTCTTTAGTTAGGGGGATCGAACTACGTAGCTACTCCCTATATAAAAGCTTTTTGCTGTTCGGAAAAGCTTGGATATCCAAAAATTTGGGGGTCTATAGTTTGTCAAAAATCAGTAAATTTCGACAAAATTTGATGTTTCTTGGGTCTAAATAGGAGATAAGTAATATATAGTAAGAATAATAATCAATCAGTAGTCGTTAATGAATAGTACTATACCCTCCTTTGCACCAAAATACCCGAATTAAGACCCTTAACTCGGAAATTTGTAATCGATGGAGGGTACAATCGGACCGCGCCAATCGTGCCCCCCACCACTTAAGTTTTAATGAAAGAACAACAAAAGCCCGGAGCGGAGGGTTCGTCGCTGAAACGCTTGGTGATCATGATGGTCTTATGCGTTTGACAGGCCCACCCAGGAGCGCCATAAAAACGTCTATGTAACATTCGCCCAAATACTACACAGCGACGGAGCGTAGAAAAAGTACCTAATAACGACTGGCAGGCGTCAGTTACCTTAATCCTACTCGTTTTTCACCGTCTCGACCTTGCCAGTTGATTTTCTGGTCTGTTTAGGGCAAAGTAAAAAGTTACCATTTTTAGGCCATCAGTCAAACGACTTTTGATCAGCTTTCGTTTACATGCGAACACAACCACATAGCTGAGTCTCGCATCCTCAGACTACGTGATTGTCATTAAAAACACGGCTCGAACAACCTATTTTAATATGTTTTTGTGTGACAGTTCTATATTAAATCCATTGGAGATGGATTGACCCTTTCCTCTTTCTAGCTACTCATATTCTAAAATATCAAACCGGTGTTAATTTAAAGTTTCACGACTTCCAAGTAGCTATACAGTCAGTTTTATACAGTCCCTTCACATAAAACAGTCTCTGGGGGACCAAGCCTCCGCTCCCGTAATATTCCTGCGATAACGGTCTTATCTCTTCTAATTTGCGTCCCGGGAGGGTTCCGTGGAATATTCCTTCCCCACCGAAGCTTCCTTCTCCACTAATATCCGCTGATAAGGGTCTGATCGTGCGTTGCTGCCACGATAAGAGGCTTCGTATTCTCCGTCTCTTGCACGACTGTTTTTCACAATATTTGTCGTTGTTCTCATTTTTTCAGCTTTCTTGGTCAAAATGGCCGTTTTTCGTATTTCTGAGAAATATCAACTTGAAAATCGAAATTTTAAAAAATAGAAAATATCAGAATACTTCGACCCTCCTTTCAAGCACTTTTTTGCTGTTAAGGCCTTTTCTCTCTGATTCGTGCTTCGTCGGAAGGTTGCGCTGTGCCAATCTGGCAGAATGGCACAACCAATACCAGGGACCTGGTATTGATCAATACCAATACCAATACAAGGAACCTGGTATTGATCAATACCAATACCTGATTCTGTCAACACCAATACCAGTTTTTTACGTTATTGAGATTGCTTTTGAAATACTGGGAGCGGTCGCTGCAGAACAGAATTTTGTTGAGCAAGCTTTGTACGAACCTGTAAATGCAATGAGGAACCCAGAGCAGGCAGCTTTTTAAAGTAGAGAATGTCCGTGGCAATACAGATTGCGAAAGCAGCTTGCGTACTCGGAACAAATAATGACAAAACAATTTTCCACGAAATTTTTTATTTGTAACACAATTGGATTGGTATATTGTATTTTCTCGTGTGGAGTTGCGTGGTCTTATTGAAGAAACGTAACACGTATCGAGTTTAATTGTAAGGACATCAACACAGCTCCTTTTTATGATTATCACTTCCTTTTCTAAAAACTTCCAAGGATTTTGTAGTAGTAGTAGTAGTACAAGACTTAATTGCACTAAAAGGCACTAAATAACAAGACATCATTTACAGAAATATCGGTTTACATTTTTATCATAGTCCACTTTAACAAACTTCACAAAGCATTTGTTTAACAGTCGGGAAAAGGAAGCATGGGTGTCAAGCAGGAAATTGGAGTAACGTACTGCTCTTGGAATGAAGATTTTATCGGTATGTCGTTTCTTTGCGAGTGGCTCCTGAAACAGCATCTTCTCGTAGTTTCTCAAGGCATATCGTGTTTGGGGTTTCATAGATATTTAATCCCAGATAGGACAATCTATTTGGCCTGAGATGATTTTGTTGAACAGTAGTAGGTCTTTAAACTGAAAGATCACACTTGACAAGTCTGTCCTTATAAGATTGCAAAGAGCAAATCCACTTTGTACACCGCCTTTGAACCGTTTCAAGAGCAACAATATCGGACTCGGAAGGGAACCAAACTTCACATGCATATAAAAAGGACGATAAAATATAGGATCTGAACAAGTTCGTTGTAGTGGCTAAAGCGAGAAAGGCAAACTGCGTTTGAGAGCAAAAAACGTACTGTAAAAAAGTCCCAATCGATTTTTGATGTGATGGCTGAATTTTAGATCAAAAGACAGGGTAACACCGAGATTTTGACTGGAATACAAGACGAAGGGACTCCTGACTGTAACCTCGGTTACTATGATACTTTTGACCTTCTGATTTTTATTTTAAAAAAAGAAGAGAGAAAAGTATATGTTTCAGGAATCTCTTTTTACAACGATCGATTTGAACTACCGTAGGTGCGAGTTATGCGCTAGTTTTCTTAAACTTTTTTTTTTAATCCTAACGATGCACAAATGTTGCAAAAACGTTTGAATTCACAATTTTAATATCTCATTTAAAATTATTGCTTCGAGCACTTCGCTCTTAACTTTTCGGGTCATAACGGAAATAACGCCCTTAATAGATAATTTCGACGTATCGTACGCTTCTTTTTAGACAAAACCGAAATATGCTCCGGTCGAATGGTCCAGACTGGCATAAACGAAGCTCGGAAACTTTGTTATCCGAGTTCGTTGACTTGGTGTGTTTTCGAGTGCAATTTTTTCGCTGCAGTTGTATGTTTCCATTGAAATAATTGTACACATGTTTTTTTTTCAGATGAAAAAAAAAGAATTATGATGCGAAGATCTTGGCGTATGGTTCGCTAATGCGACGATGTAATTTTTGACACATATCGTTTGAAAGGTTGACCCTGATTTTGATGATTGAAACCTAAATTTGAAAATGGACTCTAATTCTGCCAGTCAGTTGGCGACTGTTGAATCGTTCTGCGCAGCTTTTTATGAGTCGTCAACTGAGCTGGAACGTAGAAAGGCGGAAGAAATGCTGAAAGAATTCTTTGAAAATGAGCAGCACGCCCTCTCACGATGTCATATGGTGATGGAAAATTCAGGACTGCATTATGCACAGCTGTTAAGCGCAAATGCGTTGGCTAAGCTGGTCAGCAGACCAACAAACCAATTACCTTTAGATCAAAGAATATGGTTACGCAATTTCGTCCTTAGCAACACCTACACTAGATGTAAAATGCCAGTTTGGGTAACCAAATCATACACCCAATTATTTGCAAAATTAACCAAATTTAATTGGAATGAGCAGCAAAACGACAAGTTTGTATTTAGAAATGTAATTGACGATGTGAAAATGTTTATAAGCGGAGATTTGACGCAATGTGTTTTGGGAATTGAAATTTTGACATCGCTAGTCGAAGAGATGAATCATTATGAACCTTCACGAAGGCTTAACGAGCACAGAAAAATAACAAATTCCTTCCGAGATACTTGTTTGATGGAGATTTTCACCCTTTCACGGGATTTTTTGAGAGAAGCTGTTGAGGGGGGATTAAACCCAAGTGATGACCAACAGTGTCAATTGATGGAGAAGTTAGTAAAATTGAGCTATAGCTGCTTGTCTTTCGATTTCACGGGAAACTCTCTTGATGACGCTACAGACGAAATGTGCACAGTGCAAATTCCTGGATCTTGGAGGGAACTGTTTGTTAATTTCAAAACAATGAATTTGTTTCTTGAACTCTATCAAAGACTGCCAGCAAAAAATTGTGCTACAGTGGTTGCCTGTCTTGCCCAAATGGCAGCCATTCGAAGATCTCTCTTTACAAATAATGAGCGCACCGAGTACTTTCACAATTTACTGGGAGGTGTAAAAACCATGCTAGAAAATATCAACCACCTTTCAGATTCCGATACGTATCACGAATTCTGTAAATTACTTGCCAGACTTCGTGCTATTTATCAATTAACTGAGTTCGTTAAAGCACCTTGCTGGTCTGATTTCATCCGTCTGTTGGCACAGTTCACTGTGAATAGTTTACAATACGTTGAATGCCCTACGAATAGCTTGCACTATGTATTGAGTACATGGCACAAACTAGTGGCTTCAGTTCCCTACATGAGGTCTAACGAGCCTCACCATCTTGATAAATATGCCCCTGAAGTGGCCGTGGCCTATATAACGACAAGACTAGATCAAGTGCCTATGATGATGGGAGACAACTTTGGCGGAAGTGCTTTGAGTGACCAGAGCAGTTTGCAGCAGCAATTGGAGCAGATTGCCATTGTGGCCAGATGCTCCTACAAGAAGGTAAATTCAATATCGTAATTGTCTTATGGTACTCTATAATTTCAGCGGATTATGATTACAAAAAGAGCGTATGAACTGTTTAAGACTCGGTGAACATTAGTTCAGACTCTTGTATAGGTCGCGATGATTTTTTTTCAGGAAAAGTCTTAAACTTTGTTCAGGCTCTAATTTAGTTTTTCGCGGTTTGACTTTTGATTTATTTTTAAGTTCAGTTCATTTCCTTGTTCAAAAGAGGAAGTTGAGATTTTTTCAAAAAACAAGTCAGTATGTGTTTTCTGTTTTTAATTGCGTTCATTGACTCTTTTCCAATTGTCTGTTGGCTATGTTCATCAAAATACTGCAATATTTTTTTGTGGATGCGCGTGAGAATACTTCTCGGAGTTGGGGTGCAGTGAACGTTTTTCCGTGCTCTGTAAGAACTGTCGAGTGAGGAAAGCTTTGAGTAAAAAAATGGTAGTTAAACATACAACTCATAATCACGACTGACTAATTGAGTTACTTCTTATCGTGTTTTTTTCCATCCACAGTGCATGTGTAAATAATTGTAATAACTTTGGATCTTATTTAGGTAGCTGATGTAATCATTGGGCTGTACGGACAAACCAGCGAGGCTTACAGTCAGTGTCCCGACCTGAGCAGTCTTCGAATAGTTCAGTACAAACTTTGCTGGTTGGTTCATATCATCGGAGCGGTTGTGGGTGCACGGGTATCTTCAAATACCCAGGAGGACAGCGAGGCCTCGGATGCGGAACTGGTGTCAAGTGTACTGATGTTAGTCCGACATCTGGATTCGCAGCCAGGAGAGAAAATGCTCGACCAGCTGGAACTGGCTATCATGTTTTTTCTGGACAATTTCAGAAGGGTGTACATCGGCGAGCAGATGCAAAAAGTATTTGAGTGGTGTCCGTTCAACTGCTAAAGTGTGTCTAGTAAACCCTTATGATCCAAAGTTGAATGCCCTTTTGGCTCCATGTCCAGGGAATCATAATGCAACGCTACAATTTTTTTGCTTAAAACTAGCGACTTCCCTGCCGAGCCTTGGGATGCTCTTTTTCCTCCCCCCCCCTCCCCCCACCTCACACGAGCATCAATTTTATATTAGTCTGCATGTCGATTTTCATGGAAATCAGATAAAGTGAACAGTAATTTTAATTATAAAAATTTTCAGTTTGGGGGGGGGGAAGGAAAAAGAGCCTTTTGGGAGAGCTCTGTAAATCAATTTCGACCTTAAAAAAAGGCCGACAAAGTTTTACGAAAATCCCCCTCCCTTCTTGAGAAAATCCTAGATCCGCCCCTAGTTTTACGTTCATTTTTTAGCATTCTGTTTATGCCGGTTGAGCAGTGGTTTTTTGCATTTTTTCTTTTAGAAATTTGAATTTTTTAATCGGGCGGAAGTATTAATTTTGCAGTTGGTCTAAGTTTTCTAAGAAACGGACATCACCAAGGTGTCGCATGTGTACCACGCGCTCTCGGAGGTACTCGGATTGAAAGACGAGGCAATGCTCCTGGAACTAATTGTGAACAAACTGCTGAGCAACCTTAAACTGTGGGCGGGCAACAGTCGAATTCTATCCCAGACGCTTCAACTGTTGAGTGATCTTTCGTTGACCTATAGTGGCTTGAGGAAGTTATCGAAACTAGAACCGGTTCAGAATTTGTTGCGACATCATTCGAGCGACGCGCTGCCTTTTTTGAGTTTGGAAAACCAAGTGATGCAAGAGCAAGACTTGAAATACAGAACCAATTTCTATACTTCTCTCACTAGACTTTTACTAGTTGATTTAGGTTAGTATATTGTTTCCTTAAAGAATATTTATAAGTATTACTGGACAATCTAAGTATATTATACATTCTTTTAGAGTGAAGACATCTGGTTTTTCCAGCTTTATTGAGAGCCCGAGCAAATACGCTGCTGCTGCTTTGACGGGTGTTTCGAAATAACTTGACCGTAGAATTAAGCTCAAAATAACCTCATATGCCTAGCAAGAATAGTTGTTTGCTGTTTCAGGAGATGACGATGACAGATTCGTTGAGTTCCTTTCTCCCCTCACTGTAGCTCTGGACTCCTTAGGCCAGCAAATGCTGAGTACAAATGGAGCAGTGCCCCCCTCGCCCATTTGGAGAAGGGTTTTCATAGGAGTTTGCAGGGACTTGAGGGGGATTGTATTTGCTCTCAATACCAAGAACTACTTCAACATGTTCTTCGAGTGGTTTTATCCGAGGTCAGTCCATATTACCAGGAAGTTCAAAATTTTATCAATCCAATCAGACATACCCAACTGCAACAAAAAGTAGATGAGAGCTATCGTATCATTTACGAACTATTGTTCAGAAGTAGCAATTAAAGCATTGTAACCTCTGACCGATTCTTTGAATAGTCAAATAGTGTCGCATCTTTATGCATAGTCAGTTAGTGCTGCTGATCAGTTAATGAATTAGCGCTGTTCGTCCAGAGATTAGCGTATCTTCGTCTCTGGCAAAGTTCAGTCCCACTTTGAAATACTGTTTCTAATTTTCAGGTATTGCGCTTTGTTCCATAAGGCAATAGAACTGTGGCACAACGAGCCAACAGTTAGCAGCCCAGTTTTGAAACTCTACTGCGAGTTGGTCCAGAACAGATTCCAGCGCCTCTTGTTCGAGACCTCCCCTTTGGGAATCCTGCTTTTCAGAGAGTGCAGTGAACTCCTGGTGAAGTACGGAGAGAGGTTGTTGTCCACAGAGGCGCAGATTCCGAAAGACAAGGAGTATCAGCTGAAGTTGAAGGGAATAGCCACTTCTTTTCACATACTGAAAAACGCTCTCTCAGGTAAACTTCGACTATAAAATGTGAATTGGCATTATTATAAACATTAAATGCTTAGACTCGATATGATAATCATCTTGAAGTTTTCTTAATGAAAAAACGTTGTATCCCTTTTATTGATATTTGCCCAAAATTGGCCCCGAACTTGTGATGAATCTCAATTTCTTCGCCAAAGTTTGTGAAAGGGAATTACATGGAATCTGATCAATAATAACTAATTAAATATGTCTCAGATCATAGTAACAAGGTTTCGTTCTTCCATTAACAGGTGGATTTATCAACTTCGCCATCTTTGGACTCTATGGAGACAAGGCTCTGCAGAACAGTCTAGACATGTTTGTCAGTATGCTGCTCTCAATGTCCAACCCCCACTCATGCTCAGCTGCCGGGGGAGGAGGGGGAGGGACTGTGTCAGTGCCAGGACAGTTTATGTTCCTTCAGTATCCAAAGTTGTCTGTGGCATACTACAACTTGCTGGAGGTGCTCACAGGTTAGCCAATCTGAATTTTTTCTTGGAACAATTAAAATGACCTCGCAACGCTCGGTCGGAACAAATATTGCAACAAAAGAGCTCTTAAACATGCATCTGTCAATGAGGATTTCAGACGCTTTGCTCATGAGTTTCGAGCCTAATCGTAAAAAAATTGTTGGGAAAGTTTTCAGAGTTAATTTGCTGAGAAAATGAGATTTCTAATTACCAGAATAGCTATGATTTAAAACGTGCAAAATTCGACTTTTTTCGAGATGAGATCGTTTTAATCAGTATTTATGAAAATTTCAATGTAAGCTTCTTATTTCTAGGCGACCACGTGCACTTTGTTGCGAGTGTTGACCTTGAGGTGTTGGTGTTGATCATGCAGACTATAGCAGAGGGTCTAGTGTCTGTGGACTGTACCATCAGCACCTCCTGCTGTTGCTCACTAGATCAACTCATCTCATTCCTATTCCGCAAACTCAGTCGCACCAAGAAGAGAGCAGCCAACCAGTCTCTGCAGATGAACTTGAACAATAGTCTGGAACCCCCTGTGGCAACTCACTTTTTACAGGTAGACAAACGCTCAAAATTAATCGCGCGTTATAAAAGAATGACAAAAATTGAAGATGTCGTAAGCAAGGCGACCGTGTAAAAATCATCATATGAAGGGATGCTATCTTAATAAAAAATGAATCGTTCAGAGCATTTTTGTTCAGCTGCGGCAAGTGACATATCTGGATTAGCTCCGCTCGCCCAGACTGACTCCAAAATGTTGCCAGCCACATAAAATTTTTGATATGATAGTCTTTTTGTTAGTTATGTGAATATTGCTCTCAGGTGGTACAGGCAGCCAAGGCAACAATTGATTGCTTTTTCTTAGATTTGTGTCCTCAATTTTTTTTTACACCGATTCAACATAGTACATATAAGAGTTGCAGTTTGAACTTTATATTCTCTTGGCGATATTTCTGTTTCGTTTTGGTAACTGCAGCATATTGCCGTTGCTCTGAAATGAATGAAATAGGTTCGACATTGGCGGAGATTTTTCCAATTCAATCAGTATTTCTAGAAAAAGTATTGTGCGTTGGTTTTAGGTAACAGATACTCACGGAGAGCTATTTGACCAGATGCTTTGCAACATGCTAAACACTGTCCTATACGAGGACCTGCGAAACCAGTGGTCTCTATCCAGACCTCTTCTCGGTCTAATCCTTCTTCGGGTTTCCACTTTCGAGAGATTCCGGATGGAACAGATCCAGTCTTACAGCAGCGACCAGAAACGAGCTTCAGGAGTTCAAGCAGCCTTTTCCAGTTTAATGGAAGGAGTTGAAAACAATCTGTCGAATAAAAATAAAGACAAGTTTACTCAGAATGTGGCAGTGTTTAGAAGAGATATCGGCGAAGCGTTGAGGACAACCCAGAATCAAAGTCAGGGTGAAAGTGTTTCTGTGACTCACAGCGCGGGTGATGACATGATATGAAAATGCCGAATAATTTTTAGACCGAGGCGCTTGTTTGCTTGAATGATAAACTGAACTGAATGAATTTAAACTGGATGCCACGTTTTTGGCAATTTGAGATTCTGTGAAGTCCATTTGCTTTCGAAGGAATTTGAAGTTGTTGATATAACTGGAAAGCGTGATTCAACGGATAAATTAACATCATTGAGGCAATCGAACAAAAATTTTTGCGGATTTGATATCGGCATACTACAGAAAGAGTTGGATTGAATTGTTGCCGTACCCTCCTCGCTTTGTGGTGCTATTTTGATACGTGATAGCGAGGTTTTCTGCTTTTTAGTCTCTTCGGCAACAGCATCTTGGTGTGAATTAATTGCAAACTGATAGCTGAAATTTATTGCTTCTTCATCTTCTGAAGATTTCAAACAATCAGGCTTTAAAGAATAAGCTCTGGCAATAATGTACTGAGTAATTTGAAATGAGCCAATAATTTGCCAGATGAAATCGGTGTTAAACAGAAGCAATAAATTGGGCAAATGTCAGAATACTGTTAGTTCATATCAATTGAGTTGAATTATTGGTCCAGTTCTCAAATTGTGTGGTCAATTGATTGTTTGATTTTTTCAAGCTTATTATTATTTCTTCAAGCGAATTTCGTATTTAATTTACTCACTATACTTGGCAATATATCAATTTCTCGCGTCTCATCATCAAGGCTTGGTTTAATCCCTTGGCAAACTGTTTTTAACGGCACAAGTTGCTGGAAGTAATTAAATAGATCTAGTTGCATTAAATCATTAGTTTTTTCCTTAAATTTCCTTGTCTCCTGTTTTTTCAACCCATCGAGAGTTTATTGCTGTCGCGATGTTTATCACAAATATCATGCCAAAGAATGAACAACAAACATGACAGAGAATGGAAAGAGATAATATATTCGAGCCATTTTGTCGTGACTCGCTCTCTATGAAAACTTTTTGATTAAATTTTTTTTTGATTTGAGAGATTTTAACTTTTCTGGTTTCAATGAAAGAAGAGAGTTTTTACTTATTTGGGTTGTTTTATTTTTGTTCACTTTTGATTCAGAAAAAAGTCGGAGTGTGTTCACCCTGAGGTTCTTATTGTAACGTCTCGACTTCTGATCTAGTTGTCTCCTTCTGGGTTACTCAAATTGAGCATGTTAATCCTGACAGATTCTTGAAAAAGAAAGAGTTATGAGATCATTGCACTTGCTTTGTTATTGAACCCTAACGTTTGCCATGTTCCTTCCCCTTGGCTTGGAGTTAACGCGGTTGTTTTTGCGCCCTAAAGTCTGGGGTTTGACTCCCGACAGGACCTTGTTTTTTTCAGTATGGTTAAATTGAACTGCCAGAATTTTATTTGTCTGCTCAAATTTTGTCGGCTTAGGTGCTACATCACGTACTTCTCTTGTGTTGTAAGCAAGTATGTTGGTATTGTAGTTTCAGGTAAAATCATTTTTTTTCGGCTTAACTGTTTGCTCAAAGATGGTCGGCTTCGTTTCCGCTTCGGTATTGTTCTGCTGCTTGTTTAAAAATTAAATGTCTTGTTGATTGATAAAACGAGGTTTTTTGAAAGTGTAAGGGGTTGGGTTTTTGACTTTCTCAAAACTACTCAACTGATTTTGAAAAAATTGCTATAAATGAAAAAACCGCCTACTACCCTGTGTGCCTGCAAAATCCACTATTTTTTTTACATCCCTGTCTACAGCCTTCGAAAAAGTTAGGGAGAATATTTAACCGCTTTTTTGTATTTTTTTTGTTTTCTCAAAAACCACCCGCCCAAATCTAATGTTTTGGTTTCATTGGATAGAACGGGTTGTAGAAAGCTCCCTTGCATAAGCGGCTAAGCCCAAATTTTTGTACACCAAAATTTATGGCCCTCAGAACAGTAAAATTTTTTGAACGGTTTCAGAAATCCAAAAAAAGACATTTCCGAGAATAAAAGCTTTTCGAAAAAAAAATTGGGCGTAGCTGCTAATGCAGACGAGATTCACGCAGTTTTTTCTTTGTATTGAAACCAAGGTTAGTTTGCGACAATAGTCAAAAAGTTTCGAAAAGGTGAATTTGTCTCGGAAAAAAATTGGGAGTGGCCCCTAATGTAGGTGAGCTTCCAGTTATTTCGATAGAAACTAATGTCTCAGTTTTACAGTGTAGTTGACGCCCACAGGAGACCAATTAATTTTGTTTCAAACTTACTGGCCTATTTACACAAGTGAGCGTCGAGTGTTGTATTACGAATCCAGTTTTTCTAACCCAACTCGCAAATAAATTGCTCATTCATTGGATTTTTTATCCGCATTTTTGGTGGCTATTGTTTTGTGAATTGCTAGACAACATGGTACAGATGTGTCGACGTGAGCCTCATGAATTTCTAGGTCTGGGGTTTGAATTAGGCATGGAGCAAAAGTTACAAGATATTCAAGGCTTTTTGTACCTTTCCTTTCTTCTTTACACTTTTTTGCTTTTATAGAGCTTTTTCTGCGGTTTTATTGCTTGTGTATGCTAGGTACAGCATAGCCGCTGTGTTATAAATTTTCCTGCCTTTTTAGAACTCGAGTTTTCTATTTTTGTGAAGTGCTTATTCGTCTCTGTGTAACATTTCCCCAATTGACCGAAAGTTTTTGCTCTAAATAACTCTGCCACCTCAAAATTTAAATTTTATTTTTACTGACTTATTGGGGTTATTTACGCTACTGATTGATGCAGTAAAAAGTTTTTGTAGTTTCGCCATTCGCAGAGTGGAAATGAAATGCGAATATGCTTAGCGTTTTCTCCATTTTAAGTTAGCCCCGTAGGGAAATGAGCTCAGTGCCTTATTAAAGCTCGTAAAAATAATCAGAATATCTATTAGCGAGAACAATTTAGAGAGAATAGACTAAGGGCATGGTATATGCCCGCTCCATGTCTACCTGAATGAAGATTATCAATTTTTTTTCATGCAAAAACCTCGATTTGTCACTTCAAAAATAATAAATGATTGTTTAGAAAAATCAGTTTGTCTTGCAAAAGTTTTAAAACAACAATTTTTTATGTCAACAAATTTTTTCTGGCTTTTTTTTGTTTCGGCTCAATGAGCGGGTTAGATGCTGAGCTTGCTTTCATTAATGGCTGAGCATGAGCTGGCTACATTACTTTTAAAGGTTATTTAAGAATTGATTGTATAGTAATGTTGAAAAAAAAACTTTCGAAAAATCAATCAGGATGATCACGATTTTATTGAGACATTTGATCGAACCAAATATGAAAAGTTAGCAGATTGATGTCATACTGGTAAAATCAAAAAAATAGTCTGGAAAAAGTTAGCCTCAACAGAACTGCGTCGTATCTTTTAGATCTTCTTTGATACGACTCCTAGATCAATTTTCGGCTTCCCTTGACCTTTTTCCTTATACCCCAATTTATGATTTTTTTTGCAAATGATTTTGTTTTGCTCATAATTTCCTATTGTCATAAACATAATCATGCGGGCTAATTAGGCGAAAGCAAACATATTTGGTCTTCTTACTTAGCCTTGTATCCCCCCATGATTATATGAGGTGAGCTTCAGCAAACTCTTAATCCGATCGTCACTGATTTTTGCATGTGCAAAAGCAAGCGCCTTGGGCGGTCATGCTGATGATGTCAAAATGACACTCTCTTCGCTTAGACTATTTTGAATTGTTGAAAAATTTGGTCAAGATTTTGCTAGTGTTGTTTTCAATTTGTTGCGCATTTCGTTTGTTTTAAACAATACGTTTGATTCAGTACCAATTTATCGATGATACTGAGGTAACGACGTATCGCAAGTGATGAGAAGTTCGGCTTCGCCTCTGTGTTGAATAGGCATCATCAATTTAACGAGTAGACATCTGTGAACAATCATTTTTGAGCATGCTTGCTGTTAAGTTCTGAATATTGGAGATTCTTCTATATGTTATGGACTGAGTTGGGATGGATGTCTAACTCAGAGTAATTTCAGATAAGGTACACCGTCTGCTCGTCACGCTATCTTATTTTCGGCCGGATAGATTCGTGCAACTTCTTAGTCTAATACCGATCTTAATCTTACTCTTATATCTCTTAGTCTCAATAGATCTAGAGTATACTGGTTTGTTACGAGTCGGTCTCTTGGAGAAAGCAACTAGGTTGTAAATTAAATTCAAAATGCTCTGGTGCTGAAATCACAAGTAATTTCAGCACTTACAAATAAGTGGGTTGTTAGTTAGATGGAGTGTGATTGGTTAGTCTTTAATATTTTATAGGGATAAAATATCTAATTTATAACCAATAATAATATATAGTTTGGATCAGATTCCAGGACGCCAATTTTGTACAAAATATGGTTTGTTAAATTTATTTTTCTTTTCGGCGGAAGTGGCGTTGCTTTGCATTACCGGCATGCTTACTGCATATGTTTTCGTTTTGAGGGTGAAGGTAGACTTTTTTGATCCATGCGTGGGGATGTTTAAAAGTAGTGTGTTTTCATTTTCAACTTCAAATTGCTAAATGGATTTCGATTTTTCAACGTCGTTTTAAGTTTTATCGGCCTTGCTGCTGCGCCATGTGATTCGATGTTTTGATAAGCTATGGATATTATGGTTGAGGTACTGTTTAATTGAAATTTATTTTTCCCATAATTAACTTTGTTTGCTCAATAAAAAATTACCTAAAAAGTGAGGTCACTAAAAACGTGAATGACTTCCAGTTTCAAAAATGGACTATTATCTGAATTCCCAGCAGAATAGAAAAATACTTATTGATCCAGCTTTCTCTAGATTTAATAACTCTGAGGGAAGTAAATTCTTCTGTTCTGCGTAAATGAGAAAAGAGGGAAGTAAATTCTTCTGTTCTACGTAAATGAGAAAATGATCAAAAAAAACCCTGACTTCGTCTTTTTTCTTTTTTTTTGGTTTTGTTCCGTTTTAAAGCTTCATTTGGCCTCAGGGTTTCGGCTTATATTTTATCGTATTAGTTACTTCGATTTTTGTCGCTTCAAAAATTTAAAATGATTGTTTAGAAAAATCACTTAGTTTGTTGCTCAAAATTAGAAATGGCATTTTTACTTTGATGGCATATTTAAGTTTAATGGAGGCATGCTATTTATTGGCTGCCGCCTAGGTGCTATATGTATATTGCTGCAAGCTTGTTTTCATTGTGATTTGATCTTTGCATAATTTCGGCTTTTTTGGAATCGGTTCTAATTCTGTCGGAGTTTTTTCCTGCTTTTGTCTTTCGGCATTTTTTGTCATCATTTTTCCTGATTTAATTAAATCTAAAAGATCAAACTCTACCTCACCGGTCAACTTAAAAAGTGAAAATAAGATAAGTTTTTTTTTCGTGGAAATTATTTGTCATAACACTTATTTTTATTAGTTTCACAAAAGTAATGCCGCTCAAAACCTTCTGAAAAAGTTGCTGAGTTACCACGAATCAATAATTGAGTTCATTAATTTTTACTCTTTTTTCGTATGTTTTTTCGAATTTTTTTCGTGAACCTTTTTTTGGTAGTTTATTCATTGCTTACTAATCTATATTGTGTAAAGGCCGCTAAATTTGTTAACCGGTAGACTAGGCGGTCAAATTTAGCAAATTTGCAAATTTAGAGCTATAGTTGAACTTAAACGAAAGTCGATCTATGAATATGCTACGTAACGCGCTGTCCACTTTAGGCTGACAAGTGTTATCAGAACGGGCACTAAACAAATAGCTGTGTTAATCAATGAACTTGAACCACGTGATTTTTCGAAAAAAGTCAAAAAAAATTTGAAACCAATGTTAATGTGTCAATAACCGTAGTGAAGGCACATTTATTGGTCTTGCTAATTTTTTAATGGATCATTCTTTCCTGATTTTTTTAAGAATGTTTTCGGTATGTAGAAGACTATGAGTTTTTACACAGGCAAAACTTGTGTTTTAGTATTAACTATCTTTTTTTCCAACGTAAGATCAATTCATTTTGAGCAATAGCCGGCTAATAAGTACAGCCAATGCGGAGGTTATTAACAAAGAATATTATATTACAAATAATGGATCTGTAGTGTAGAGGAGACCCGCAACAAAATAAGAGGGTTTGAACCTGGGCAGGGTCGGAGTTTTTTTTAATGAAATTTTTTGTATACTTGCTACAATGCGTCCGCTCTATAAATTGAGGCATGCTAGTTGGTAATTTTTTTTTTCATTTGACTGGTACTGCTAATGCGTCATTCTTGGCTTGCGTCACTTAGCAATTATGTAGACTCATAATTGGCGTGCGTCACTTAAGAAATTTTGTAGACTCAAAGTTTTACTCATTCATTTTTCCCAGTAGCGTTATCGATCATATTTTTGCTTGTGTGCGAAGAGCAACTTCGCCTCTGTGTAAAATAAGCTATTGATAATTGGCTCTTAATGCTTTCCTTAATTCTAAAAAATAGATGTTTTATGCTGCATGCACCTCAAAGAGTTTTCTATGTTAAATTTCTACGCGCCCTGCATCTTCTTGTATCAAATGATCTATTAGTACTTCTTCTGATTGCCTCGTTTTTTAAGATTAAATGTAGAAGATGAATAACAGCAGTGGGGATGCGGGGCCTAGTCAAACCCAAGGTCAATCTATGGACCAACTAGGTGGCCAACAGATGAAGCAGCAGCAACAACAGCAGCAAAGGGAAGCATACGAAGAAGCTAAACAGACCTTATTGCACAATGCTCTAGACCAGAATGCTTTGGCTAGGTATATTTGATTGTTCCGACCATTGAAAATGGAGAGAAACCTTATATTTGGGTGTTTTAGTTTTTTTTCTTTGCTTTCCAAGCAAAATCAGGTACCACGAATAATCATCGGACTGGGTTAAGTAATATATCATATTAAAGCCCTTTCAGTCGTGATTCGAACTACATTAAAAAATGCCCAAAAATATTTTGTAGTGTCGAGAAAAACTGTTTTTAAATTTTTGACTTTTTGTCTTGATTTGAGCTTGCGTTAGCTTATTTTAAAGGCTGAAAAGCTTACAATAGCTTAATTTAGGCCGTAAAAATTTAGTTATACGAGAGAAAAAGTAGTTGTTTTTTGCATTTAAGTGCTTTTTTGGAATCAAAAATCTTTTTTGACTTTTTTATTTTTTCTAGTCATTTTTCTACAAAAATTGTTTTCCAATTTGCATATTTTACTCTGACTGTCGAATATGCCTAAGCTCCAGTTTTTGTTCAGATCCTTTAAACCCACCACGCCGAAAAAACGAAAATTTGAGAAAAAAATTGTATTATTAGATTATGGTCGGAACATTCTGTGCTACTTGCACAGAAATCGGCTGTCCCTGTTTTCATATGTAGTTACAAATAATGTTATGTACGCTGGCAATTTTTTTTTATTATCAAGTTTCAAAATTTTTTACCGTAATATTTGGCAATGTGCGAAGATTATAGCCTCCCCAGTTTACTAGCTTTTTAGACTCGCGAAATTTAATTTGAGTGCAGTTTTAAATACAGCTAAATCCGGAGACAATTTATTGTTGCCAGCTACTATTAGTGGAGTGGTCGATTGATCGAACGCTCGTCGATCAATTTGGTTTAACCTACTTGGATTCACCATTTTCTTCATTTAGGTACAACAGTCTTCTATTAACGAAACCAGAGTACGCACAGAAGCTAGAACCCTTCATTCTTAGAGCAGGCCAGTCAGGCCAGCAGATAAGTGACGATCAGTTCAAACAACTGCTTCAGCAATTTAGTCAACAGGCCAAACCGAAGAGTTCAAAGGTCAATTTCCAGAGAAGGAGAGTAGACTCAGATGACGATGATGATGATTTCTAGAAAGGGATGCGTAAAAATTAAATTGCCTCATTTACTTACCACTCTTATCTGTTTTGACTGTGTTTTGTACATAGAATTGAGATCCAACTTGATTAATTTCATATCTAATCAATTGATCATTGAGCTGGAATTTTAATGAGTTTGAACTGCGTGAGACACTTCGCTACCCTAGCGGTAATTGCACATGTTAGCGATAAAACAGGAAGCCGTTTTTTCTCGCCGTGAAGTTCCAATTGGCTGAGTTGGCTCATTGAAAAGTTTCAGGGCTCTTTTCCAGTTACCCAACCCCCTCGTCAAATTACAAAATAAAGCTGTTCAAAAATTGTTAACACAGCATTTTGCATGTGTTCACGCTGACACATTTCGACGCAGTTTATAATATGAATAGCCATTTTAAATAGACTTTCACTTATTGAATTTCAGAAAAAAAATCAAAGTGTGGTAACTGGAAAAGAGCCAATTTCAGTTGATTTAATATCAATGAAACGTGCTGAATGTACATTTCGTACTCGGAGGTAATGCTTTGTTTCAACTGTGCAATTGCGAGTTGAAAATAAGGATGTAAAAACATCAAATTATAATCACCTTTGATAGTTTCTATATTTACGCTTGCCATTAGCAAGCATTATTTATATATAATTTTTCGGTTCGAACACCGTAGATGTAGAGAACTTTGAAAGTTTTGTTTTTCTGACGCAACTCCAAGTGCCTTAGGAGAAATAGAGAACTTTGAAAGTTTTGTGTTTCCCGCCCAACTCCAGGTGGAAGGGCTGAAAGGGATTTTATACGCCACAGATAATAGATTGAACTGAGAGACCATGGCCGATTGGTTAAGGCGAAAGGCTCTTAAATCGAGGGTCCTGGGTTAATATTTTACTTCGGTCATGCTCGGATGGTTCTTAGTGTTATCCTCCTCCTCAAGTTTGGAACAGCTACGGCAAAATGGATGAAAACCTCCTGCCCAAGGATGAACCTGCAGTGGATTGGGCGGCGTCAAGATAAAAGAGATTGAAGTCTCAAATTAGTTTTTTTAGCTATTTTTACTCTAATTTAGATATAGTCTTCTCTCATGTGGCAGATTTTGACGTAAATCAATTGCCCTTAACGGGGGAAAAAGAGAAGACAGAAATAAACTCATAAAACCAAATTGAGTTTCATTACAAAAGCAAAGCTTGTTTTATAGTATGAACTCTCTTTTTTCCAACCAAAGTCGCAAATGTTGTTGCGACGCAAATATTGTTGCGATAAAATGTGTTTATTTTGAAAGTGTTCATTTTGATCAATAACCAGCTATTAAGTACAGCCAATGCTAAGGATATTAACACAGACTTTTATGACTTTTATAGTACAAATAGCACTTTAGCTTCAAGGTATCATGGATATGTAGCGTAGAGGTAGGGAAGAACCCGCAACAAAACGAGAGGGTTCTAATCTGGGCTGCGTCGGATGTTTTAATGAACTTTTGTTAGTATACTAGCTAATATGCGTCCACGCCATAAATTGAGGCAGTGCAACTTCGCCTCTGTGTTGAAACTATAGTTTTCAATTTTAAATACTTGGAAATTTCATTTCATTTTCGTGTATTTTTCTCTTGATTCTATGATTAAAAAGGATTTCGATGTGTTTTTTCTTATGATGTTTGCAACAGAATTAGAAAAAGTTTTTGTAATTTTTAAAAATTGTATTCATTTTTTTTTCGTTTTTCAAGTCATTTTTGTCTAAAAACAATTTTTCATATAGCGTAATTCACTATGACTGCCGGTTATGCCTAGTTTCTATTTTTTCACACAGAAAAAATGACACTATTTTGAAAAAAAGGATTTAGTGTTTTTTAAGACTAAGGTCGTAACATTCTGTGCTATTTTCACAGTCACCGGCTATCCTTGTTCATAATTGACAGCAGGTGTTTTTTTCAATTAAAAAATGTGAAGCTTGTGTTCTCTTAAGTTATTGTTCCTATCATTGAACATGGGGAGGAGCTTGGTTTTTGGGTGTGCTTTCTTTTTCTTTCTCATTTTTTTGTTTTCCGCTCAAAATCAAGAACCACAAAAAAAATCATCAGAGTGAGTCGAGTGATTTAAATTTTGAAGCCTTGACAGTCGTGATTCAAACGTCATATAAAAATAGTTAGAAGTTTTTGTGTGAAGTTTTTTGAATTTTATTCATAATTCGAGCGAGTCTTTTTCGACGGTGTGTCATTTGCTTGTCAAAGCAAGTTTCTTATGAGATTTACACTTTTTCCCCTCCAACAACTTTTCCTACCAATCTGTAAGTTATTGAGAAATTGCTTTATTAGGGAACCTTAGCAACTTCGAGACCTTTTCACTCTTGGTCTAGAGGTAACGCAGATGCCTTTTTTCCTACGGTCTGTGATCCAATTTCCAGCCAGACCTTGTTTTTTACGTCGTAAAAAATGAAAAGTCGGACTTTCGTTTGTCTGCTTATTTTTTTTCGGCTTAGTTGCCACATCGGGGAATTTCCCCGAGCTGTCAGCAATTTTTCAATCGTAGCTGCGCGTGCTTTTGGCTTACACCTGTAATTTGAAAAGTTATACCCTTCTGTTTTTATGTTTTTGGTTTTCCTTTTTCTTTTTTTTCACTTGAAAGCTTTATTTGGCATAAATGATTTCGTCTTACTTTTATCGGCTGAATTATTTTTTTTCTATGAGCCGCTTCAAAAGCAGACAATGATTGATTTTATTTTTGAAAATTTAGCTAGTTTCTGTTGCATGATTTCAAAGTTTTAAAACTTAATTGCTCAAACATTGTGTTTGGAAAAGGCATTCATTGTGTTCTAATTTTTCCTTATCACACCACGCACAAAAACGAAAAAAAATGGTTTTTATGAATAGGGTCGAAACGTTATGTGCTACTTGCTCAGTTATCGGCTTTCCTTGTTTATAATTGTAAATTACAAATTTAGATTTGTTTTCAGGTCTTTTAGACAGAATTTGCATCCATTTGAAATTGTATTTAAAAAACAAGTTTAGCTCCTTTTTGGGAGCTTAAGCGCACTAAAACATAGTATTACGCTTCGTATTGTTTTCGAATTTCGAAGAACTTCAAAGCTGTAAATTTTTTCTTTGAAATCTGAATGTTGATTTTTTTTGTTTCCTTGCGTGCATTGACTTTTTTCAACTGTCTGTTGGCTGCGTTTTAATGTTATAACTTGATCATGCCCGACCCACCGCCGGTCATTCAAAAAATACCGTTAGTAGAAAACATAGAAACCATAATTCAGATTTAAAAAAATCGGCTCATTCCCTCGAAGTTTCTTAAACATAATTACTGTGTCCATGAACTTCTATGCGATTTGCGCAGCAACAAGTTCTTCTTATATTTTTTTTGCAGTGAGATAACAATCGGTTCGTCTTCGAGTCTGGGGTTTTGATTTTAGGTCCTTTCAGATGCAAACAATGTGTACTCAGTCGCTATGCAGGTATCACAATTTATTGAAAGATGCATTGAATGAAAAAATTAAGATAAGTACATCTGGATAGTAATTTTTCTGAAGTTTTCAGATGATTTGGTTGGTCTTTTTTCTTTATATAAATGGTAACTTAATTTTATTTCAAAGCAAAAAAAAAAGATGATAATATAGTGCCTCGTTTTTCTCAAAACAGAGACAATTTTCTTCGAAATCCAATCACAAAAAATGGTTTTAATATGATTGTACTAAGGATCGCATACTTTTCAATAATGGTTATAATGAGCGAAAAACTAGAGCTTGGTCATTACAACTTTTCTAGAAAAATGATTAGAAAAACAAACAAAAATAAAAAAAAATCTTTTTTTTCCAATATTTGCAGTTTTTCAAATTTCTGACGTTTTTGTTTCTAAAAAGGCGCTAAAACACTCAAAAAAACTAACTTTGGAAACTTTAAACTAAATAAAGCAATTGCAAGCTTTTGAGCTATTAAATTACTAATTGTAAGCCTGCTCGCTCCCTCGAAACTTGATGAAAAATGAAAAATTCAAACCGGTTTTTCTCAAAACTGGGTAAGTTTATTGAAAATTTTTAAAAATCGTTTAAATCACGAATAAAATAACTATAAAATGATATGCTATTCAACTCTCTCCGATGATTTTTGTAGTTGCTGATTTTGCGTGGAAAACAATAAAAAAGAAAAAAAACTACAAAACACCCGAATACAAAGTGCCTCCACATTTTTCAAATGTTCGGAACAACATCAATTCGTGATGTTTCAAAAAAACTTTTCCGTTTTCTAGGTTTTTTACCCTTGCGTTAAGCAAGGGTATTGCAATTGGTTACGAGACTTTTTTTCCCGTAAACAACCTTGGTCACAGATTAGTCAAATGGTAATCAGTTTATTTCATACCCGCTGCTACATACATGGTCAGTCTGCCGCTGTTGTGCTAATTAAGTTTTTTTTAGATTTTCGGCACTGAGGTCTTTGAAATTTTTTTTGTTTTGTGGGATCGTAAAAGTATAGCGCTTTATTAAGTTGTTTTTAGGGTACAATGTTTTTTTCAAAGATTGTTTGTTTAGCGCTTTATTAAGTTGTTTTTAGGGTACAATGTTTTTTTCAAAGATTGTTTGTTTGATATAACCTCTTGATTAAAAAACCTGTCTGGAATGCTTACATCAACTGTATAATTTAAACTTCGCGTGGCACCTGATTTAGCACTATAGCTTAATAAGGAAACTTTATAGGGAGAATTATTTTCTGAGTTCTCTGAGCGATCTGTCAATTGGTACTGATTCGTATTTCTGTAACATCTGTCTTTGATTTTTCTTTAATTTTTTTTCGAGATTTCAGCACGCTGATTTCTTAAGGTAGTGAATGCTTTTTTAATGTAGCCTCTCGCCGCTGATTCTTTGTTTTTGTCATTGTTCGATCGACACTGTGGTAATACATGTAGAGTTCTGTAATTTCTATCCAGTTTGTCAAGTTTTCTTTTTCTTTTATGCGGGTAACTTAATAGTAGTCTAATGAAGACTCTCCCTGGTAGTCAATAATTTGTTCAAACTTCTTTTAAATCAAACTTCTGTTGTTTGTATGCCTGAAAAGTTTAAGACGGAACGATGTAAGGAACGCATGTTTTAATCTTTAAAACGTATTCATAATCCTCTAAAGTGTATCAATGATGTACATTGTAGATTTTTATC